ATAAGCACATTCTCTAGTGAGATGAAACAATGAGAAAATACACAATAGGAAGTGCTTTCCTCACTTTGGCACTCTGCATTATTCTTACCCTGTTTTTCTTCAGCACCCTTAAACACCACCACACATATATTTATCTATCTCCTTCCACTTGAACGTAAACTCCTGAAAAGCAGGACTTTATTTCCTTCTTTTTTTTTTTTTTTTTTTTGAGACAGAATCTTGTCACCAGGCTGGAGTGCAGTGACGTGATCTCTTCTCATTGCAACCTCCACCTCCTGGGTTCAAGCGATTCTCCTGCCTCAGCCTCCCAAGTAGCTGGGACTACTGGCACACACCACCATGCCCAGCTAATTTTTTGTATTTTTAGTAGAGACAGGGTTTCACCATTTTAGCCAACATGGTCCTGATCTTTTGACCTTGTGATCTGCCCACCTCAGCCTCCCAAAGTGCTGGGATTACAGGCATGAGCCACCATGCCCAGCTTATTTGCTTCTTTATTCCCAATATTCCCACTGTCCTTAATAAAAATTTGGCATAGTCCAGTCACAGCGGCCCAATCTGTAATACCAGCAGTTTAGGAGGCTGAGTTGGGTGGATCCCTCGAACTCAGGAGTTCAAGAACATCCTGAGCAACATGGCAAAACATCATCTCTACCAAAAATACAAAAGAAAAAAAAAAAATTATATAGGCATGGTGGCACATGCCTGTAGTTTCAGCTTCTCAGGAGGCTTAACAACTTCATTACAGTCAACTGTAAGGAAATTATCTCCTAGCTGTTAGTTGTCATGTTCTCTGTCTTGTAACAATTCTAAGAAAATGAGGCCAACAAAAGCGCTTGCTGAAACAAGTAACAAAACCTTGATACTATCATTTTCCATCCGTGAGACACCATAATTCTTTTATTTTTTCCCATTTAGCTGGAGTGCAATGGTGCGATTTCGGCTCACTGCAACCTCCACCTCCCAGGTTCAATCAATTCTCCTGTCTCAGCCTCCTGAGTAGCTGGGACTACAGGCGTTTGCCACCATTGTGGCCAATCTTCTGATTTTAAGTAGAGACAGGGTTTCACCATATCAGTCGGGCTGGTCATGAACTCCTGGCCTCAAATGATGCCCCCCCCCGCACCCCCCTGCCCCGTCCTCGGCCTCCCAAATTGCTGAGAATACAGGCGTGAGCCACCACACCCCGCCTGATCTGATTGCTTTCTGTCCTAATTAATACAACATAGTACATGCAAGACATTGCATAGTACATGTAACAACCTCAGTCCTAATTAATACAACATAGTACATGCAAGACCTTCCGTGATCTCAACAGCATTTTTCTCTTCAGCGTTTCCTAGAAATATATGCTATACAACCCTACCTATACTTACTGTATCTAAGATTCATTTAAGTTTTGCTTATTTAAAACATTTCCAAATCACTTCCATTCTCAATCCTCCTAAAATTTACCACTTCCTTTTTTGTCATCCACTGTTCCCCCTACAGAGTGTTCAGAACTCTTTACTGCAGGCACTTGCTCAGTATCTCCTCCAATAATATACTGTTAGTTCCCAGGAAGAAAGGGCATGCGTTGTACATTTTTGTAGTCTCAACACCTAATACATTGCCTGGAACAAGCTAGGGATGCAAATGTTTTGTTAAAATTTTAAAATTGGTAATTTCAGGACCCACACAGAGCTTCTTTCTCCATCACCCTTGTGGAAAATCGCATTAATGACCTAGTTCTTCACCTTTCCCTGTATCCAGTTTCCCATGTAATTTGGCAGTGCTCTCCTGCTACAGGTGAGAAACGTAATTCCCTACCTTTCTGCTCAGCCATCTAACTTACGCTGTTCAAATGGACGTTAGCAGATAGCAGCAAGTGGAGTCTCAAAAAAAGCTTGTGCATTTTAGGATGGTTGGATGGTTAGGATGGTTGACTTGTGCTTCCACCATCATCATGAAAATTATATACCCAAAGTGGCCCACTGATCCCAAAAGAAAGATGAGAAACAAAAAGAGCAGAGCTGCCCAAATAAGCTGCGCAGAAAAGCCCAGCCCAGAGCTGATCCTCAGACAACCTGTAGAAACATGAATGAGCCCAGCCAGGACCAAGCTACCCCAAGCTTGAAACTCCTGAGCTAAATATAAACTGTTATTTTTGTTGTTGGTTGCTGCACACAATTACTGTGGCCATAGTTAACTGATATGGACCCTTTCTAAAAGAGGCCCTTTCCCTTGTATTTCTCTGTAGGCAATAAGAAGTCTTCAACACTGGTTTGGTATTATCACTATTTGATACACAGAAGTCTTACAGGAAATCCTGAGACCACTGCTAGGGCTGTCATATGCATGGATATGATTTTTACAGTCCAACAAAAACCCTATTTCATGCTATGCTGGGGTCCTGGGGCATTATAGGAAGTTTGAAAGAAGTGTAAGGATTTTGTTTGAGTTCTGAACAACTATATAAATATCCTTCAGGATAAAATAAAACAGAATTACATTTTTCCCCCCTTTGTTTTTGTAAAGGCAATTATTATTAAAGAACATGGTAGCCTTGTATTAAATGCTTGCTAAGCACTTATATGGATGTCATTTTGCTAGGCTTTTTTTTTTTTTTTTTTTTTTTTTTTTTTTTTGAGACGGAGTTTCGCTCGTTACCCAGGCTGGAGTGCAATGGCGCGTTCTCGGCTCACTGCAACCTCCACCTCCTGGGTTCAGGCAATTCTCCTGCCTCAGCCTCCTGAGTAGCTAGGATTACAGGCACGAGTCATCATGCCCAGCTAATTTTTTATATTTTTAGTAGAGACGGGGTTTCACCAAGTTGACCAGGATGGTCTCGGATCTCTTGACCTCGTGATCCACCTGCCTTAGCCTCCCAAAGTGCTGGGATTACAGGCTTGAGCCACCGCGCCCAGCTCTTGCTAGGCTTTTATATAAATGTTAAATTATTCATCGGCCTTATGAAGTCCCACTGTACAAATGACTAAACTGAGGTTGAGGTTAAGCAACTTGCCTTAATTCATTACTAAGTGATGGAAATCCTATTGGAATGTATGCCTTTTGAACTCCAAAGCCAGTGCTCCTCCACTATCTTACACTGAACCTTTGGTTGCTATTACTACTGAAAATTTTAAATATAGAAACAAGTGAACATTTCTTGAATTTATGAGTTCCTTTGAGAACACAGGAATGAAACAGATGTCATTTGATAGCTTAAAACCATTTTCTTTTGATCCTTGTGTCATGCTTAAATGGCACTAGCAGCCACTATCGTTGCTATTGTGATAAAGTGGCTACTACAAACTATTTTTTTTATATTGATATCCAGTTTTGGCAACATCATTGATTAAATGGTTATCTTCTCCATTGTTTGGTTACGACTGACTTGTCATATAGATTTATTTGACTTCTTTCAGTTTCTTTTTTTTTTTTTGAGACGGAGTTTCGCTCTTGTTACCCAGGCTGGAGTGCAATGGCGCAATCTCGGCTCACCGCAACCTCCGCCTCCTGGGTTCAGGCAATTCTCCTGCCTCAGCCTCCTGAGTAGCTGGGATTACAGGCACGCACCACCATGCCCAGCTAATTTTTTGTATTTTTAGTAGAGATGGGGTTTCACCATGTTGACCAGGATGGTCTCGATCTCTTGACCTCGTGATCCACCCGCCTCGGCCTCCCAAAGTGCTGGGATTACAGGCTTGAGCCACCGCGCCCGGCCCTTCTTTCAGTTTCTTAACCTGTGTAATACCTACCTTATAGAGATAATGAGGATCAACTTAAATTATGCATATACAACTAGAAAAGAATACTTGCTTAATGCAGGCTGTGTAGTTGTTCTTTGCATTGCTATTTGGTTTGACTTAAATCAAGTTGCAAACTGTTGTGGTAAGTGTTGCTATATACCTTGAAATCTGATGACCATAGCCATTTGAACATTTTATTTTTCTGACTTATCACAATGTGTCCGGGAATTCCAAGGTCAGGTTTTAAGCCCCAACATCTCATTTTAGGCCTAAGACCAGTATCAGACTATCTACTTTACAAAAGTGCTTTAGTTAACTTTCTCCTCTTTACAGCTTCCATTACACACCTTATTCTGAAGACTATTTTACCCCCTAAGGAAGCTCAAATATGATATAATCAAGTCAAAATAACAAACATATATCCCCTATAAAGTATTCCTACAAATAGTTTAATCTCAATGGAAAGAAGCTTTCAGTTTACAGGAAATAGGTGTTGCAGTCAGTCTCCACGATAGCTAGCCCCCATAATCCCTCCTCTACTGGTATTCACTGCCTTGCATATAATCCACTCGCCTGATTAACTTACTTCCAACCAATATAATACCTTGATTTGAGATATCACTTATGTGATTAGATTATAAAGATTCCATAAATGGTCCTGCCAGCAGACTCTCCCTTGCTGGCTTTGATGATGCAACCTGCCTTACTGGGGAGGCACATATAGCAAAAATCAGAGAGGGCAGTCTCTGGTCAATAGCTAGCTAGGAATTGAGGTCCTCAGTCCAACCCCAAAAGAACTAAATGCCAAGGATGTGAGCTTGAAAATGAAACCTTCCTCACTAGAGCCTTTAGATGGGACACCAACCTTGGCTGATACTTCACAGTCCCAAGTGGAACAAGGAAACAGAGAATCCACCTAAGCTATGTTGAGATTCCCGACCCACACAACATTTGAGCTAATGTGTACTATTTCTAAGTTTTGGGGTAATTTACTAAGGAACAACAGATAACCAATACCGAAGGGTCATAGAAAAATATTTTACAAACACAAAAAGTGAGGTGCTTCACATGCTGGAGTGCCCTAAACATTCCTAAAAGTCAACGATAGTTTTAAAAGATGAAAGACTGTTCTAGATTAAGAGGCCAAAGAAGCATATAACCAAATAATTATTAATAAATACATAAATCTTGATTATTTAGATCTTTTTTTTTTTTGTTTTCACATTTTTATTGGGAGCTGAGAGGGCCCGCCTTGGTCAGTGGAGGTGCTCACAGGTTCTTCAGCCACTCCAGGCTGGGCCCCTGGGGGTCCTGGGGGTGGCTGGGTATGTCCGGCATGTTCCCATCATCACGGACAGGCACTGGGTAGTTGTAGGGCGTGGCCTTGTTGATCATGACCGAGTACTTGAAGTAGGGACTGATTGGGGGCAGAATTACAGTCGCGGCCATCTTGGTCTTGGCGGCGGCGACAACAGCCTATTTAGATCTTTTTTTTTTTTTTTTTTTTTTTTTTTTGAGACGGAGTTTCACTCTTGTTACCCAGGCTGGAGTGCAATGGCGCGATCTCGGCTCCCCGCAACTTCCGCCTCCTGGGTTCAGGCAATTCTCCTGCCTCAGCCTCCTGAGTGGGTGGGATTACAGGCACGTGCCACCATGCCCAGCTAATTTTTTTTTAGTATTTTTAGTAGAGACGGGGTTTCACTATGTTGACCAGGACGGTCTCGATCTCTCGACCTCGTGATCCACCCGCCTCGGCCTCCCAAAGTGCTGGGATTACAGGCTTGAGCCACCGCGCCCGGCCATATTTAGATCTTTTTAAAGCAACAATTATAAAAGGCATTCTTGGAGCAATGAAGAAATATAACATATGGACTAGATATTAGATGTTATGAAATTGCTAATTTCCTTAAGTGTGATATTATCAGTAATAAATTATGTTCTTAAAAATGCCTTCATTCAGCCGGGCGCGGTGGCTCAAGCCTGTAATCCCAGCACTTTGGGAGGCCGAGGCGGGTGGATCACGAGGTCAAGAGATCGAGACCGTCCAGGTCAACATGGTGAAACTCCGTCTCTACTAAAATACAAAAAATTAGCTGGGCATGGTGGCGCGTGCCTGTAATCCCAGCTACTCAGGAGGCTGAGGTAGGAGAATTGCCTGAACCCAGGAGGCGGAGGTTGCGGTGAGCCGAGATCGCGCCATTGCACTCCAGCCTGGGTAACAAGAGCGAAACTCCGTCTCAAAAAAAAAAAAAAAAAAAAAAAATGCCTTCATTCTTATAAGATGCATATTGAAGTATCCAGTTGATAAGCATTTAAGTAATTTCAAAAGAAAGTATAAACTATGGAGATAAAGCAAATCTGGCAAACTACTAATAACTGTGGAATCTAGTTAACAAGTCCACGAACGTTCACTATATTTCCTTCAATTGTTTGCGTTTTTTGTTTTTTTCTGAGACAAAGTCTTGCTCTGTCAACACTCAGGTTGCAGTACAGTGGTATAATCACGGCTCACTGCAACCCTGACTTCCCAGGCTCAAGTGATCCTCTCACCTCAGCCTTCCGAGTAGTTGGGATTATGGGCACGCAACATCACACCTGGCTAATTTTTAATTTTTTTGTATAGATGCAGTCTATGTTGCCCAGGATGGTCTTGAACTCTGGGCTCAAATGATGCTCCTGCCTCAGCCTCCCAAAATGCTGGGATTACAAGTGCAACCCACTGCACCGAGCCTCTTTCAATTTTTATGTATGAATATTTTTATTAAAAAGTTGAAGTGAAACTCATGGAAAAATTATGTTAAAGTCTTCAAAACTGTATTTATAATCACAACTATATGGCATATATTTCTACAGAAAAGAATGCATTATAAATTAGAATAAATTTTTGTTAAAAAAAGACTGAGTAACATTTTTAAAATCTCAAGTCTGGAATTTATCTAAGACTTCCAGGAAGGATGATACATCACAATTGGTCTTTTATGCATTTTATCATTTCCTAATAAAATAACCACAACATACAAGTGATAACTGCTAAGTAACCTACCTCCCACTCTTATCCACAGAATTATCTCTGTGAAGAATCCATTTTTACTTATGCTTCTTCCATCACTTAAGAAGATTATGATGTCCAGGCACAGTGGCTCATGCCTGTAATCCCAGCACTTTGGGAGGCTGGGATTACAGGGAGGCAGAGGCAGGCAGATCATCACCTGAGGTCAAAAGTTCAAGACCAGCGTGATCAACATAGAGGAAGCCCGTCTCTACTAAAAATACAAAATTAGCCAGGCGTGGTGGCATGTCTGTAATCCCAGCTACTTGGAGGGCTGAGGCAGGAGAATCACTTAAATCTGGAAGGGGGAGGTTGCAGTGAGCCGAGATCACGCCATTGCACTCTAGCCTGGGTAACAAGAGCAAAACTCCATCTCAAAAAAAAAAAAAAAAAAAAAAAGATTATAAGGTAGATAATAAATTGCATTGCATTGCTATTCAGTTATAAATTCACCAAGTCATATAAATAGCAACAGACTCATCTCAAAGAACCTAATGCTAGAGAGAAGACAATAGTTAAGAAATGGGGACAATAATAATTTAGCTCTTTTGTAGGCAATGGGGTTTCAAATGCAATATGAAGTACATTAATTCCAAGAGTGTACCACTAGAGGTGGGACAGCAATGTGTATCAGTCTAAAAAACATACACTATCTTGATCTACTAACTCCATGCATAAAATATATTCCTAGGGAACTAGTAAGACTCTTTTGAGATTTGTCACAGCATTGCTTGATAGCTGAAAGCTGGAAACAGTGCCAGTTAATAAGAAATGGGTATATCACATGATAGAATATTATATTTATTAATGTGGAGCTCTTTGTACCAAATATAAGTTTAAAAATCAGGTTATCAAAGAGTACGTATGATACAATGCTTTTTTAATAAAATAAAACACATTTACATACATAGTCAATATGCCACAAGATGTTAAGAATAGTTTTCTCTAAATAGTGGCATTACAGGCAATTTTTATTTGGGGTAAATGTGTGTGTGTGTTTTACTCAACAAATGTTTATTACTTTTGTTTTCAGAAAAAACCATTAAGAGAACCATAGGAAAGTTTAACTAAAAAAGAAGGTAATCTTTAAAATATTATTTAGCATATCTTTCAAGCGAGATTGTTTCCTTTTGCTAGGCTAAATTTTGTAATCTCCACAGTAAACATGAAATGGTAGAATAAAAGTTGATACAAAAAAACTTGTAGGGCCGGGCACGGTGGCTCAAGCCTGTAATCCCAGCACTTTGGGAGGCCGAGGCGGGTGGATCACGAGGTCAAGAGATCGAGACCATCCAGGCCAACATGGTGAAACCCCGTCTCTACTAAAAATACAAAAAATTAGCTGGGCATGGTTGTGCGTGCCTGTAACCCCAGCTACTCAGGAGGCTGAGACAGGAGAATTGCCTGAACCCAGGAGGCGGAGGTTGCGGTGAGCCGAGATTGCGCCATTGCACTCCAGCCTGGGTAACAAGAGCGAAACTCCGTCAAAAAAAAAAAAAAAAAAAAAAAAAAAAAAACCTGTACAGTAATAGGAAGCAGTGTTTACATTTTGTCGCCCCTTACATTTTGAAGAGGAAGCTCATATTCTTAACCAAGACTGTCTTACCATTAATCAAAGGTACCTACTTTTCCTAAATATTGCAAATAAATTGTTTGTACTTACAACTGCATGCTACACTGGACTTATAAAGAAGAAAGCAGTGTACTGTAAAGGAACCAGCCAGACCTGTGTTAAACTCCTAATTTTGCCATTTAACTTTGACATAACCACCTAAACCCAATCAACAAAAGGAAAGTATAGGTACCTAACAGAGCCAGTAAACAGAATACTTGGAAGTCCAGGTACACACCAGGAGGTTGCAATTTAATATTCAGTAAAGTACATATCCCCTCTATTTACATTTTACTCATTTCCTTTTGATATTCTGAAAGTTTTTACTTGGATTACTCTGGACACTTAGAACCTTTTCTTGCCCATTTGGGGAAGAATTATTCTAACAAGGGTGTAATTTGGCATTAAGCCAGGAAACTCATGGTTTTTTGTACCATGAATATTGAGAATGTTGCTCACCATTTTTGGCAATGTCCTCTTTGTGAAAAGATCTTTCCCACTTTTAAAAGTAGGAATAGTTATGCTTCTTTCAAGAAATTCGGTTACCTGAGACACAAAAAACTGTGTAATTAATACGATGGTTCCTTCTTTGTATTAATTGCTAAGAAGTTCATACAAATCTGTGAACTACTCTCTAGAAAGTATAGCATGGCATGTGAGTAGTTAACTCACTTAGCTTCAATTTTCTTTTTCTCTCTAAAAATGATTCATCCTATTGTATCTACTTCTGAAAGCAGAGATAATACTGACCCTCATTTAAATGGGTTTTAAGGATTAAATATCAGAGTGTCTACTATACTGCCTGGACCACATAGAGGGCTCAAAAATAGAAATTTCACATGACAGGTTTTGGACTTTCAAAGAATACAGTTTTATGTACTCTTGCTTATGTCATCACCTGATGAAATTAAACATCTTCCAAATTCCCTTTGAAATAATGGAAAATGACAAAAATAAACAGCCACATATCAAAACTAGAATGAAAAATGAAGTTACCTCAAATAGTGAAGGGCAAAATAAACCAGACCCAAGCCTGGTGTTAAATTGAGACCTTGTCTGTCTGAACTGATATATGCCAAACACAGCTTACAAACTGGCTTTTTCTTCATCTAAAAATAAGCCATCAAACAAATATACTTTAGGATTTATAAATGACAAATCAAGAATTTATCTTACATTGTTTTAATATATGAATAATTTATATATTATTTTATAAATTTAACATAATTTAAAAATTTTTTAAGTAGTTAACCTAAAACAAGACCTTGAAATATATCAGTGCTGTTCGAAGAATCCAGCAATGAAAATAGGTGAAGTTAAATAAAAGATAATTGACAACAACAGTTTGGTGTACATAAGTAATAAAAGCAAGTCATATGAATAAAAGCCCTTGTCTCCTCCTTAGTGGCTAAGGCGAGGAGAAAATGTCATTGTCACTGTGTTGCTGCTGATTATAGCTCCTTTTACATTTGTTTTCATACTCTTGAAAACTTACCCAAATTACACAGGAAAATCTCACAATTCAGCAGTGCAAAAATTTTATTTGTTTCCCCTCCCCACCACTTTACAACATCTAAAATCTTACTTAATCCACAGTATTCTCTTTTCTTAATCATCTGGTATCACTCATGTCAAATGTGAGGAAATAAAAACACTAATCAATTACAAATCTCAGTCCCCCTTCCCCATTGCTACAGCAAATTTAGGATAAATCTACAGCATTCACTTACTTTTGCTGGTTCTGATACTGAGGAATACTTTTTTATTTGAGAATCAACACCTAAAGAC